GCTCTTAGGCACCTTAAGTGCAGCAGAAATTTTTTTGTAACCTTTGCCAGATCTGTGCCTTGCCACAATTGTGTCTCTGAGCTCTTCAGGCAGTTCCTTTGACTTCATGATTCTCATTTGCTCTGACATGCACTGTGAGCTGTAGGGTCTTATATAGACAGGTGTGTGGCTTTTCCTAATCACGTCCAATCAGTATAATCAAACACAGCTGGACTCAAATGAAGGTGTAGAACCATCTCAGGGATGATCAGAAGAAATGGACAGCACCTAAGTTAAATATGAGTGTCACAGCAAAGGGTCTGAATACTTATGACCATGTGATATTTCAGTTTTTCTTTTTTAATAAATCTGCAAAAATGTCAAACATTCTGTGTTTTTCTGTCAATATCGGGTGCTGTGTGTACATTGAGGAAAAAAATGAACTGAAATGATTTTAGCATATGGCTGCAATATAACAAAGAGTGAAAAATTTAAGGGGGTCTGAATACTTTCCGTACCAACTGTATGTATACATGCTTGGTATTTCAACATTTTTGTGCAGTAATTGTAATCACAAGGAATCCAAATGAGCATTGTTACAGTCTATTTCCTTGATGTCAGTAAAGTGTAAATTCCAAAAATTGTTTTCTGCAGAATGGGCAAAGTTTTAATAAATGTCAGATTAGTTATTATGCCAGGATTTGCTCATGATCACAATCAGAGGGGAAAGAACTATTTTTTTTATTCTGCCTGATACCTTCAGCTTTGTGTTTTACGTTATTACTGACTTGCTCATGTTTTAGTTTTTTGTTTTTTGTTTTCTTTTCACAGCCAACTCCATCTCAGCAGGACAACTGCTTTGTGGGGGCCTATTCTCAGCAGACTCTCTTTCTAACTGGTGTGCCGCTGTAGCCTTGGCTCACGCCCTACAGGACAACATCACCCAGAAGGAGCAGCTCCTGCGGGTCCAACTCGCCACCAGTCTGGGCAAACCCCCTGTTTCTCTGCTGCAGCAGTGCACCAACATCCTCTCCCAGGTAGGACAGTAAAAAATAAAGCTGCTGGAATGAAGGAGATGCTAATGGGCTAGGTGTGTCTGGGTAGCATACCTATGAGTTAAAACATTAATACCTGGAAAAAGGTTAATACTCATACATATAGTATCAAGAACAGAGACAGAACAGTGTCACATTATTGTGGTTTTGCAGGGAGATAAGATCATCCGTCGGGTGAGTAAATTGTGTGCATACTATGTCTGTGTGTTTTGAATGTTGGGCAGCACCCGTAGTGGTTAGTTTGGCTTGGCATCTGCAGTATGGGTCTTGATGACCCATGTGTTGGGGATCGTGCTTCCATTTAACTCCTCACTACCCCTTCTTTGGCCCTAACCTATGGCTGTGACCCAGTTTGTCCTCATTAGGGTGGCACACGGATGCACCGCTCCCCACAGAATTAAAACCTCTAGATGCTCACACTGTGTTCACAAGTGGACACCTGAGAGAGGTTCAGATCAAAGGGACTCGGCATTTGTTTTGTTTGTTTGTTTGTTGTTGTTTTTTTAATCTCTGCTGATATCAGCCTAACACCTGCTTTGAACTGTGACCTGGGACCATTTCCGGTGCCGTTATTTGTCTGCTCAGGAAGTCTGTGCTGCAGCAGCTTTTGGGCCTTTTCCTTTTTGAGTAATCTTATTTACGTGTACCTGCTTACCATGGATTGTACTTAAGATGATTATTCCATTTTTATTGTGGATACAGATAGCTCTAAAATTTGTTTTAGTGTTGAGACAAAGATTGATATTACTCAGCCATACATAAAACCATCCTTGCCTGAATTTCTTAGTTTACATTGCTCTCTTCATGCATTTAGATTCTCTGGTAATCTGCTAAAATAAAAACAGCATGTGTTCCTGAAGAGAGTGTCTGAAAATTGCACACCGTTATCCCCATTTTTTCCCCTCCACAATAGCAATATCTATGGATGATATGTTTTCAGGTCATCTGTCCATCCCATTCTCATGAACATGATATCTCACGAATGCCTTGAAAGAATTGTTTTTTCAAATTTGGACTCAAGAATGAAGGTCAAGGTCACTGTGACCTAGAGGTTGCACAACTTCCAATTTTTTTAGAGTTGACATTTTTGTTATGAAAGTGAAGTTGGAGTTGACTAGTTACTGATGTCATCACCAAAAAGGCTTTAACTGGTTCTTGGTGTCACTGGACCAGTTAAATTGTATCTACCCCCACAACCACCAGCTGGCAGTAGTGAGCAAATTGTTGCTTGGCACATCAGAACAAGGAGAAGAAGGTGTCAAAATACACTAGGACAAGCTTCATTAGAAGTGTTTTAAAACATCGTGATTTACTTTTACAAAAGACTTTAAGTGGTTGATTTTGCTTGTGTGCGTGTGATTTGTTTGCCCATCTCAGTTAACTGTAGTGCACAGCCATGTCCTGACTGTTTCTGGGTGTCCAGTACTTTTTAATATGCAGACCGTGACCGGGCTTCCACTGTGATGCTTTCATGGCTAATGACTTATGGACACTTGGTTTGGTGACAGACTGCACAGCTAACAGCTGATCCAGCCGACTAGTTGACATCATGTTAAATAGGTTGACTCTATGTACTGAGGTCGACTAATCTGTCCAACCCCTAAAGTGACCTCACATCGGTCCCATCCTCATGAGTGCAATAGCTCAGGAGCACCTTGTGGGGATTCTGCCACAGCTTGTTGTAGAGACAGTGAGAAGGGTTATCCAAGATGGTTTTGATTTTGTCCTCCTTTCCACCACTGGCTCCAGACTGTCCAGTTCCAACCTGATCACCGGTTCAGTTCTTCTGATCATCCCAGAGATGGTTCTGTGCACCGTCTTTCTTAACAGCTTGTTGAGACTGCTGACCTCCAAGTCTTGATGTTACCACCACAGCATACAACCACAAAGAATAAAGCACTGGCTACTACAGACAGCCAGAAGATCTGCAGGAGCCTGGTGCATAACACTGAAGGATTAATCTCCCAGAAGAAATGGTATACTCTGTCCCATCTTGAAGAGGGCTTCAATGTTCAGCCCAGATTTTTAATTACTTTGACTCCAAGGTGCCTGTAGGAGTCCACCCTCTCCACTTCCTCTCCCTGGGTGATAACCAGGACAGGGGGTTTGCTGGTGCTCTGGTAGTCCACCATAAGTTTGTTGGTTTTGCTGAAATTGAGCTCCAGGTGATTGTTGTATCACAATGTGACAAAGCTCTTTATCAGTCCTCTGTAAGAATGGTCTAAGTGAAGATGTCATGTTTCTCGCTGGAAATTCTTCACTTCAATAATAACTTAAATTTTGCAAAAAAACACACTTGAATATATCTTATTAAATTCTGTCAGTCTTCACTACATACAATATAAGTCTGGACATGCATGTAAAATGCAATTTGACCAGCTGGTGGAGGCATACAACCATGAGGTGCTAATTGTAGTTAATATATCACGTATTCCTCCCTCTCTATCATGGCTAGTTCTTCCACTCCACCTTCCAGTGCAGTCCAGTTCAGAACAACTGTAAACACTTTAATTTCCCACGTGGTCAGACACTACATCTTATGAAGTAGGCCTGAAACACCATAAAGTGGCTCCAAGTACGGGAAGTCGAGCAATACCAGCTAGAAACCCACTGTGATGGACATCGAATCTGCTTCTTCACTTACTACTGGGTGATCATTTTCCTTTCTTTTGTTTTACTCATCATTTTTGCATTTACATCAGTTTTGGTGACAAAATTAGAGCTCCATGAAAACCATCCTTTTTGTCTGCTCTTGATTGAGAACTGGATTTTCTGTGTCCATTAGATGCCCATTTTTGTAAAAAGAAAATCCAGGTTGTGCTCTTAAACCTTGCCACATGTCTCAAAGCTTTTTCATGATCATTTTTGTATCTTTTATAATTACAATTTTTTTTAATGTAAAAAGCACATTTAGTGTGTTTTTTTTCATTATGTGCAGAAAGTTGGAAATTCAGTAAATATCAGTTGCAATTTCAGAAAATTGATTACAAGGCATCAATTATTTGCAAAATGAAAATTGTAAACTAAATAATTGATAACTGTGAACCTTTGGCTGGAGGTGAACGTAGGTTTTAGCCATTGAAGACTTTACAGAAGGTGGAACCTGCCCTAACCTTGAGTGAATGTGCAAAATGACTTAATTTTGCCTGTGGCTTTGTTTTTTGTTTTTGTTTTTCCTAACAACCTTTATTATGTACTAATGGTTAATGTGATTGAAGTGCTTGAGATTAAGACCCCTGGGGCTTCAACTGGGCTCATTAGAAAAATCACTATATCTCAACAAAATAAATGCTTCTTTTAACACCAGTTTATATTTTAGCTGTTTTGTTGCAATTTTATCAGTGCAGTTTTACTTTCTCCTGTTTGAATTGAATACCTTGGCGCTCATTGTGTTAGCTTTCTTGTTTGCATTGTGCTACAATCAGCAAGTGTTCATCATTGTCACACGAAATACATGTTGACACGTCTGCTGTTTTTGTTGTGCTCTACAGGGCAGTAAAGTGCAGACGAGGGTAGGCCTCCTCATGCTGTTGTGTACGTGGATCAGCAACTGTCCGATTGCTGTCACACATTTTCTACACAATCAGGAAAATGTTCCATTTGTATCCTTGAAGCAGCTCACGAGCCATCTGTCACTGTCATTACAATAACCTTCTGAATGTAGTCAGGGTTTTGGTGTCAAACTGTTATGTAAATGTTTACTTGGTGTTCACTTTGCGTGTTTTAGATGAACTATTTTAGGAAACCAGTGAAGTCTTGGAATTCAAATTGACAACTATGCTCTACAATATCACTCCACACAACAGATTTTCAGTGAGAATAGGAACTGGGGTTCGATAGCATTTCAGTGAATCTAGGTCCAAAACCAAATTGTTTAGAATCTCTTATTGAATTTATTTAAGTATTTTCTCTGATGGGGAATGAAGGTGTCTGTTTTATTAAAAATATATTTGTGATTCTTTGGCAAATTAAGAATGCAAAACACTGTTGACACTAATATTCCTATAATATTTAAAATGAACAAATTTTGTAATTGTGTCTAAAGTATACTTTTTACAGCTTTACAGACTGTCTTGATTTAGGTTTTTTAAATAATTTCAGAGATAATTGGAGGCTTAGATAATAAAATCAAACCACAGGTATACATTTGTGGGTGTTGTATTTCACAGTGATGGGGGTTTTTGGCCACAGAGCCTGACAAATCCAGGTATTTACCATCTTTGAACCAGATTCAACACAGAACCAGTTGTCAGACCCCATCCCTAATGGAAACCTACAGTATATGTTACCTCCAGGTTAGAAGGTGTATTGTGGCCTGAATCCTTGACCTGGTACCTCCTGTAGCTGACGGCTCAGATCTCAGAGAACCTGGGAGAGGATGAAAGGCTGGTCCAGGGTCTGTGCGCACTGCTTCTCGGCATCTGCATCTATTACAATGACAACTCGCTAGAGAATTGCACAAAGTAAGTTGACTCGGTTCGCACACTTTGAAAATTATAAATATGCAAGAATTATTACAGAATCAGTACCACTCTTTTGTTTTGTTTGACTAAACAGGGCAAATGTATAGCATTGCAAACTTCATACATGCACTCTTATTTATATATGAACAAAAGAAAACAGATTATTGTGAAAATCACATCACTGCAAGAAAGCAGTGACAAGCTTTGACATGCAGTCTTGTAGTTTGATTAATTTAAAAACTGGTCATTATATTATTCAATCTGATACAAGTACATGTAGTGATCTCTGCTCTACTTTCAGTTCTCTACTATGTTAACACAGGGGTATCCTTTTTTATATCTAATATTTCATAAGTCAGTTATAGTTGTATTACATATATTGTCAATTCAGTGGCTGTTTAAAAAAAACACCTTCTTCTGTCCTCAGAGAGAAGCTAAAGCAACTGATCGAGAAGCGTATCGGAAAAGAAAACTTTGTGGAGAAACTCTGCTTCATCACCAAACATGAGCTGTACTCACGGGCAGCCCAGAAACCACAGCCTGCCTTCCCATCTCCAGAGCAGATGCTCTTTGACCACGAGTTCACCAAGCTGGTTAAAGAACTGGAGGGTCAGTCGGAGACTATTCTTGACATCCAGTGATGATTCATTTATCAGGAGAATACCAGGATCCATTGGGTTTGAAGACTGATGTTGCTCTGTCTGTTATGCACAGGTGTGATCACCAAAGCAGTTCACAAGTCCAGTGAGGAGGAGAAGAAGGAAGAGGAGGTGAAGAAGACATTAGAGCAACATGACAACATTGTAACTCAGTATAAAGAGCTGATCAGAGAACAGGTAAACAGACTCAACAGACTAAGGGGGCTTCCCAAGTCTTTTATAAACACCATCATTTCCCTCACTTGCGTCTCTTCCTTGCATCTTAGTGCCACCCATATAAGAAAACATACGAGGACAAAGGACTTGAGGAAACATGTTATTAATGACATGAGAGGTCCCTTCCTCCTGTCCTTCATCTGAAGCATCCGATCACCAACTGATTTCTGATAAAGGGGCATGTCAATTTATAAAATAAACTTCACAAAGGACAGTCTCATGTATCCTCACTCATGGCTCTGCTAGCGGCTTCCTCGCTCCTCAGAGCCGATATAAGACTCGGAACATCCTTGGTCGACCGGTATGACTATAAGAGATTTGGGAAGCAGCCTTAATATTTGATACCCTTCTCTGTTATTTCCTGCTGTTATTACTATTTTATGTCAACTGTGTGATCCTCAGGATGCTCAGATCCAGGAACTGAAAGAGCAGGTAGCATCCGTGTCATCTCAGAATGATGAGCTACAGGCCACAATCACCCAGCAGCTCTCCCAGATCCAGCAGCACAAAGACCAGTACAACATCCTCAAGCTAAAACTAGGTGGGTTCATTTCACAGCTGGTTCACTGGTAGGATGTGTATTGTGTGCTCCTAGAAAGAATAGGCATTGAAGAAGAAGTTGTCTATATTTTGTCTATTTTTAAACAGCCTGCACCTTGTTTTTATATTTTTGGACCTCATTCCAGTTGTTTATATTATATTTATATTATTAATTTTTTTTTTATTGCTTCATAGTTCAGATATGGAACGACATCCCTGCATATAGTTTCACAATAGAGAGCATTTGAAAGCAGTGGGTCAGTTTTATGGAAATTAAGCTTATTTGCTTTCTTTTATAAACAGTGAAACAACAGTTTGTGCCTTTGTGGTGTTAAAGGACTAAGGTCAACTTTCAAATCACATGTCTGTTTCAAAACTTGACATTTTAATTGAATGCAATTGTGTGTGGCTCTAACTTCAGGTAAGGAGAGCCAGAATCAGTCCAACAGCCAAGGAGATGGCTCTCAGGTGAATGGGCTGCAGACCGAAGAGCTGACACAGCTCCGAGAAGAAGTGGAGGAGCTCCGCAAGAAACACACACTCCTTCAGACACAGCTTGGTGACAAAGATGCACTCATCAACTCCCTGGTAAGTAACTGTCTATGTGTGTATATATACAGTGCCTTGCGAAAGTATTCGGCCCCCTTGAACTTTGCGACCTTTTGCCACATTTCAGGCTTCAAACATAAAGATATAAAACTGTAATTTTTTGTGAAGAATCAACAACAAGTGGGACACAATCATGAAGTGGAACGAAATTTATTGGATATGTCAAACTTTTTTAACAAATAAAAAAACTGAAAAATTGGGCGTGCAAAATTATTCAGCCCCCTTAAGTTAATACTTTGTAGCGCCACCTTTTGCTGCGATTACAGCTGTAAGTCACTTGGGGTATGTCTCTATCAGTTTTGCACATCGAGAGACGGAAATTTTTGCCCATTCCTCCTTGCAAAACAGCTCGAGCTCAGTGAGGTTGGATAGAGAGCGTTTGTGAACAGCAGTTTTCAGTTCTTTCCACAGATTCTCGATTGGATTCAGGTCTGGACTTTGACTTGGCCATTCTAACACCTGGATATGTTTATTTGTGAACCATTCCATTGTAGATTTTGCTTTATGTTTTGAATCATTGTCTTGTTGGAAGACAAATCTCCGTCCCAGTCTCAGGTCTTTTGCAGACTCCATCAGGTTTCCTTCCAGAATAGTCCTGTATTTGGCTCCATCCATCTTCCCATCAATTTTAACCATCTTCCCGGTCCCTGCTGAAGAAAAGCAGGCCCAAACCAGGATGCTGCCACCACCATGTTTGACAGTGGGGATGGTGTGTTCAGGGTGATGAGCTGTGTTGCTTTTACGCCAAACATAACATTTTGCATTGTTGCCAAAAAGTTCGATTTTGGTTTCATCTGACCAGAGCACCTTCTTCCACATGTTTGGTGTGTCTCCCAGGTGGCTTGTGGCAAACTTTAAACGACACTTTTTATGGATATCTTTAAGAAATGGCTTTCTTCTTGCCACTCTTCCATAAAGGCCAGATTTGTGCAGTATACGACTGATTGTTGTCCTATGGACAGAGTCTCCCACCTCAGCTGTAGATCTCTGCAGTTCGGACAGGGAAGATGGTTCAAATTGATGGGAAGATGGATGGAGCCAAATACAGGACCATTCTGGAAGGAAACCTGATGGAGTCTGCAAAAGACCTGAGACTGGGACGGAGATTTGTCTTCCAACAAGACAATGATTCAAAACATAAAGCAAAATCTACAATGGAATGGTTCACAAATAAACATATCCAGGTGTTAGAATGGCCAAGTCAAAGTCCAGACCTGAATCCAATCGAGAATCTGTGGAAAGAACTGAAAACTGCTGTTCACAAATGCTCTCCATCCAACCTCACTGAGCTCGAGCTGTTTTGCAAGGCGGAATGGGCAAAAATTTCAGTCTCTTGATGTGCAAAACTGATAGAGACATACCCCAAGTGACTTACAGCTGTAATCGCAGCAAAAGGTGGCGCTACAAAGTATTAACTTAAGGGGGCTGAATAATTTTGCATGCCCAATTTTTCAGTTTTTTATTTGTTAAAAACGTTTGAAATATCCAATAAATTTCGTTCCACTTCATGATTGTGTCCCACTTGTTGTTGATTCTTCCCAAAAAATTACAGTTTTATATCTTTATGTTTGAAGCCTGAAATGTGGCAAAAGGTCGCAAAGTTCAAGGGGGCCGAATACTTTCGCAAGGCACTGTATATGTGCAGGGGCGTCATACTGGGGATGGATTTTGGGGGGCTTCAAGTGGAGCTGTTCAGCCACCAGCTCCTGATTTATTGATGACTAGCTACTTTTCAAGTAACAGCTGCTTCCTGTGTTGCCAAATTATATTTGGTGTGGTTTGGCGTAATCCGAGCTGTAAACAATACATAAACACCAGATAGACTTAAAATAAGGAAGGACATATACTGAACTTGGCACCACACCTTCAGTGTTGTCATTGCGAATTAGTTTTCATTTAAGCCAAAATTATTCTTGCAAACAAACTCTTGCACCAGATTTTCCAACTAGATTAAGGCAATGACTCTTTTTAGAACCACTTCCCTTGGGAGTAGATGGTTTTTGGTTTGTTGGATTGTTTAAGTTCCTTTTTATGCAAACTCTCCAAACATTTCCAGTAGGGCTGGGCGATTATTTCGATTTTTTCGATTAATTCGAATTTACGTTTTAAGGCGATTTTTTTTTCTTAAATCAAGGTATCGCGATTTTTAATTATAATAAAAAATAGATACATTGTCATTGCACCAATGGCAGAATAATTAAAAGGCAATATTGTCTGACCACATGATGGCGCGCCTAATTAACCGCTTACGTGTGAGAGCACTCTATGAAGGAACGTAATAGGCTATAGAAAAAACATCATGGAGACGGGTGGCTCTTCACATCAAGATGACCTTGTGCCAAAAAAAGGTAGTAACGTTTCCTCTGTGGTTTGGGAATGGTTTGGCTTTGAGAGGTCAGACGTCGAACAAACTTTTGTCAAATGCAAAATATGTCGAAAGTCCGTTTCAACCGGCAGTGGCAGCACCACTAATTTATTCCAACATTTGCGACAAAGACACCAAGTAGTATGGGAAGAATGCTCAAAGTTAAGAAAAGAAAACAAGCCAAGTGCAACGGGGCAACCTAAAATAGCAAAACGCCAGATGTCATTAGCGGCATCATTTTCCACTGCCACTCCATATGACAAAAAGGTGCCCCGATGGCAAGAAATTACAGATGCTGTGGCGTTTCATATCGCTAAGGACATGGTTCCCATATACACCATCGAAAAGCCAGGTTCCTAAAAATGCTTCGCACTGTTGATCCAAGATACACGTTGCCAAGCCGCAAATATTTCAAAGACGTAGCTATTCCCCAAATGTACACTGAAACGCGTGAAAAAGTAGCAGAACAGCTTGATAAGGCATCTTTTTTTTCTACGACGACTGACCTGTGGAGTAGTCGTACTCTTCAGCCTTACATGAGCCTCACAGCCCATTATGTTGATGCAGAATGGAAACTGCGAAGTGTTTGTCTTCAGACATGTTATTTTCCTGACGATCATACTGGGGAAGTAATTGGTCAAGGGCTTAAAGATGTGCTGGCTTCTTATCAAACATTTACTGTTAATAATGCTTCTGGTGTAAATGTGCTTAATTTTTGAGTTGACTAATTGGTTAAAATCATTGGTCATTGATTTAAAATGGTTATTTTCTTACTCTGTATTAAGAAGAATTCAATATTTACTTTCATATTTAATTCAGCTGCAAAGACATTTCATTAGACAATTTGTTTTACATTTATTTACACCTTGTTGACCAATTTATGTATGGCATGCACACTAAAATACAATGTTTCTTAAACTGATGGTTTTTCAAGTTACTTAAGAAGAGAATGTTACTTCAGTCACGTTGTTGTACTTGTGTTTAAGTTGGCTAGTTACACATAAAAAAAAAATCGAAATCGAAATCGTGAATCGGTCACATTTTATGAAAAAACCTAGATTTTTATTTTTTGCCATATCGCCCAGCCCTAATTTCCAGGTTTCAGACCTGCAGGGTGAAGATTTGCTGCCTTTATTTGGTTTAATCATTGTAAATTGAGTCTTTCTGTTTTCAGCTGTTGGTCAGGCAAAACGAGACATTTAAAGAAGTCGTCTTTGGCTGTATGAAACGGATTTCTCTGACATTCCCTAGATTAAATCATAATGATAATAATTCTAAGAAAAAAGGAAATAATTAGCAGCTTAATCAGTATCAAAGATAATTGTTGTTGCAGCTCTATCCTCAATATAGTGTTACACTTAAAAGTGTTTGAGTTTTATCTTGTCCTAGTGAAAATGACTGTTGTGTTTTCACTGTGTATCTGTAGAGGTCAGAGGCTGCACAGACAGCAGAGCATTCAGCAGGGGGATCAGGCAATGTAGGACTA